GTCAAAAGATGGTCCAATGAAAGAACAGGATCCTGATCCTAATGAAGTAGACTGATCACAGAAATAAATTCGGGTACTTCGGCAATATTTGTCAGAAAGAGGACAACAATGCAGTAATTTTCTAGGTATCTTGATATGAAATGCTTTTGAAGCTTCCATTTCAAGAATTGCAGAGGATGTATATTGATGCCTCATAACTAATTTTCCAACAAATTCAGTAAATACTTAAATTATAAATGCTGACTGGAGTACAAATTAGGATAAAACAAGAAATTCAAAATCAAATATTCAACTATGAACATTTGAGACCATCATTTTCTCGAAGATTAAATTGTTTCTCAGAATTTCTCTAAAGAAACAATTAATTAAAGCAAGCCAATTAAACTATTTCACTGCAAGAACGTTTGGGACCATCATCTTTGGAGAAGAAAAAATTCTTCATTTTCTCGAAATTAGATTGTTTCACAGAATCTTCAGTAAAGACACAGTTAATTATAGCAACCCAATTAAACTATTTCATTGCAAGAAACGCAGATAAATAAAGCAAAACAAACAAACAAGCAAACGTTTCTCGAAAAACTCCATTTGCACATATTGAAATTAGAAATGAAATAAAAAAAATAAATACCAGATATAATGGTTAAAATTTTCACTATCAAATTATCAAAAGTAACAATATATGTTTTTCTATATGTATCATGTGGATACAAAAGTACCTTCTAAGGTTGATGATCCCGAAAACAGAATATCAAAGCGACAGACAGCAGTCCAGGAATGAAAATCAACGATTTTTATTTTTATTTTTTTATTTTTCTCTTGGAACCCCTTTTTCCCTTTCTTTAACATAAAACGAAAATCTGTCTCTTATTATCGTCAGGTTTTTTATATCAAAAAATCATTGATTTCTTTAATCGGTGGCTGAGAAATTGGCAACCAACAAAAGGCCCTGTGTTTTCTTGGGTAGAGTATGATCGACAAAACGAGCATGTTTGCCTCGCTTAGGAATAAAAAAAAAAAAAAAAAAAAGGATAAAAAGAGACTTTTATTTTCAAATATGTTGATTTTTTTTCTTATTTTAATAAAATTACACCATAGATTATCAAGTCTAGTACAATCTAAAGTAAGTACACTTTAGATTTTAGGCATCTAGCCAATTAGTAACAAACGGTTTTAGCTAATGAAGGAAGTAGAATTTTGTGAGTGATGGATGAAGTACAAATCGATAAAGATCGATGAGCATTATGAAACAAGTTTAATTCGTAAATTGTGATTATGGTATAATTTAAGTGATTATTGAAACATTTAACTCTATTATTATTTAACAAAAAATTTGAGGAAAGACGAATAAAAACTAAATGACACCGAGAAATCGAAAAGATTAACTTGAGGACGAGTCTCTTTCAATTGATAAATAATGGATAGTACAATTTTCTCATACTCTAGAGACAAATGTCAAGTCGTGCTTCAGACACCATCGACTTCGAACATTTAAATTTGATCTTCTTAATTTTGTCACACTTTAATTGATATTTGCAAAAGAAAAATGAATAAAAATACAAATATTTCAACAAAAAACAAGTGCTGGGGATGACAATTCGAATCGTTAAAATCGAAAATTGTGGTTAACCGAATTGAATGAGGCAAAAAAAAAATAGAACCGATAGTACAATGGTGCGGATATGGTATTTGCTTTTAGTGACCCGATTCGGAACGGTGCGAGTATAGTATTTGCTTCGTCACTCGCCCCGAACCGATTACTCGTTAAAAAAAAGAAGAACAATTGGGCTTCCCATTATTGTTTCTATTATAAGGGAAAATTTCATAATTCAGGTGTATTATTTACACCAATTCAAAAATCAGGTAAATAATTTAAAAATTCAAAATTAAGGTATATATTTAATTAATTAAAAATATTTATTAAATGAATATATAAAGTCACAATTATTCGATTAATGGTCACATATCATCAAATTAATTAGTCACATATTATTTTAAGGTCACAAATCATTCAAATTATAGGTCACAGTTCATCTATATATCACATATTTTCAAATTTATTAGTCACAAATTATTTTTTTAGCTGCAGATTGTAGAATTTTAAATGTCACAGACCAAATTATTGGTCACATGCACCAAAAACTCTACCTACATTCTAATTCACCACCAATACTTTCTCATAGAGCAACCAAATAGTTGGTGACAATCACTATTACACCCCCATTACAACACCACCACAACGAGCCAACAATTACAAAAATGACCACCAAAACACAACTACCGACTGCACAGCACTATCACACATCATCGACCACCATCTCGTCGCCAACACCACCACCCACCACCAGTATCACCACCATTACCCCTAAGTCCCCAACAATGCACCACCGCCACAATCTCCAACGAACACCGACCGCACTAAGTCAAGCAAGCCACCCATAAATTCAGTTTCCGAAGACTTCTTAGAGGGAAGGGTTTCCGAAACAGAAAGTTCTTCAGCTTCTCCCTCTCACACAAAACAATGAGGGTTTTCTAATAATTATTGCAAAGACAATTTATCCCTTTAGTTCTTCACCTTCTCTCTCACACACACAAAACATGCACTGGGTGAATGGGGTTTATAGAAGAAGACGCTGTAAATAGGAGATATATAAAAAGAACTGCGATTTCGGAACACCGACTGCACTGTCACTGACCAACGTCATCGCACGTACAACCACGACAACGTCGCAGCTTTGACGCTTAGATCGATGCTTGTCGCGAAACCAGCACTTGTCAAGGCATTGACGCTCGTCCTGCAGTTGACACTAGTCACGGCACCAGCAGAGAGAGAATGGAGAGAAGATAGAGAGAATGGAGATAGAGTAGGGAAAAAATGGATAGAATGGAGTGAGTTAGGTCTGGAATTAAATTAATTAATTAATAAAATATCCAATTAATACCTGATTTTTGATTAAACAAACTTCATACTTGTATTTTAAATTTGAAATTTTAGCTTCTTGATTTTATGTAATTTCCTCATATTATAATTTGTCTAGCCCAAAATTTATGCCCCATTACCGTCCCATTAAGTAATCTAACCCAGTTACCACTTACCCATTAAGTACTAACTCTACCACAAAGAAAATTGGTATCAAATTCAACAAGATATTAGCCAACAACCGTCTTCACTCGAATTTCTGTAGTGTGTCTCCAAATTTTTTCTTCTTCTCCACACTGTATTCTTTTTTTTTTATTGCCATCATCAACCCCATGCCCAAATGGGAAGGTATTTTTCTTCCTCTTCTCGCTCGCTAATTGCTGTTGCTGTAATCTGTAACTATTCTTGTTTTTGTTGAGTTTGAATATTTGATGAAATGCGATTTTTTTCTTCACATAAAAGATGAATTTAATGAACTTAGTTTGCCTAGAAATGTTAAATTTTATTGTTGGAGAAACATGATGATATTAAGAATGAAGATTGAATATAAATTGAGGTTGAAGCTTTTGACTTATTGAGTAGGAATCAAGTTCGATGCATAAGGATCAAGGGAAGATGATATTGTCTAAGTATTATTACGTTGATAATATTATTTGTTGAACACGGATTTTGCATGTGAGAACTGAGACATTGTTTGCATTTTCATTTGGGATGTTGTTTGTTATATTGATTCAGTTTTATGCTTTTGTTTTTATTGACTTTTTCATAATTTTTTTTTATTTTAACAGGCGGACTTATAAAAAGTAATTTATTTTCGTTGTTATTAATGACCCGAATCAACCCAAACCGAGATACAAATCAAACCGACTTACGTGGTTATGGTACGAGCAAAAAATTGATGGTTCATGATGGTTTTGACCGAACCGACTCCGAATCGAATCGTTGCCAACCCCACACAAGTGCGAGAGAATATGCCGTCTTTCGTCCTCTTCAAAAGAAACGCTCAGACCTGACCAAACCCAAGACTTTCCACTCCTTACAGCCTTCGACACTAATATCACGTGTAGCCTTTTTTCCACTAATTAAAATAAATAATAGCATCCTTTCTAAAATTGACATTTTAACAACAAATAAAATGAAAGTTGTGTACTGAAATTGTAAAATATAAATGAAAATTTGAGGATTTAAATATCTCCAATAAAAACTAAAGGACCAAGCTTACTTGGTACACTTCAGATAATTTGAACGTACCATTTTTAAAAATGAGATATTCAAATGGCCTATTTCTTTAAGTTTCCAAAAGTTCAAAGGTTCGTGCTCAATAGCAAAAAGCAGACCGTTCTACATTTCTAAATCAATCACCCCTGCAAATTTTTTTATTTTTATTTTTATTTTTTATTTTTTATTTTTCCCCCTTAATCATTCCCAAGTGAAGAGGAGTGAAATTGCAAAAATGGGGGATCATATAGCGAGAGGAGAAGATTTTGAGAGAAAAGCCGAGAAGAAGCTGAGCGGCTGGGGCCTTTTCGGCTCCAAATACGAAGACGCTGCTGATTTATTTGAAAAAGCCGCCAATGCCTTCAAGCTCGGCAAATCCTGTAAACCTCTTTAACTTATTCACATACGCCTTCACGCGCTTCTTTATTTTTGATGATCGATTTTTGTGTTTTTTACACGATCTTCATGTTTAATTATTTCGATTGTTTGATGTTTTTATTTATTGATTGATTTAGCTATGGTGTGATTGATAGATTGGTGTTTGTGTATGGATGAAAGATTTTATATTGGGAAGAATATGTTTTAATTGATGAAGGATAATGAATGGTTGTCTATGTTACATTAGTTTGAGCCCCATTTTAAGTGGAAGAATGCATTTTTAAATGGTGATTGATGGAGAATGTGTGGATAAAAATTAAGGAAATTTTTATTTTCGTGTAATATTATTTTTTATTGAAATATGTATGGTTGAAAATGAGTTTTGAAAGAACGGGGCTCAAACAAGGGTTAATATAGATAAGCATTTGGTTTATCTTCTTTTACAGTTTTAGGAGTCCCTTATTTCACTTTATCTGTCAGCAATGTGTGGCCACTGGCCAGTGCAGTGCATGTTAAGCAATAAATTCCACGTGTTAAATACTGAAATATAGACCAATATACAAGGAATTGGGCTACTTCTGTTAATTAGATTGGGCTTTTAAGATGGAAGCCCAAGTTTTAACATGTTATCAGTGACCATTAAGTTCCAACAAGCAATTCGATCCGATTAAGATTCAAAAAAATGAGTATGCAAATTTCAAGATTGGTTTGCTCAAACGAACCACGATCTTTCGGGGGCATGTTGCTTATTGGTTTGATCACTTTAACAGTTTTGAACTCTTGAGTCATATTGAATAAGAACATTGTTGTTTCGATTGATATTGAACAAGAACCATGCTGTTTTGATTCATATTGAATAAGTACTGTGTTATTTTTGGTATTATTTTTTGCCAAGGTCATCAGTAATGCAAGAAGAACTAGAAGGCCACCCTTTCTGGGTAAAAGGATCTAAAAATTACAGAAATTGAAGAGATGTATTTTCTTCAATGCTTTTTGCAGTCACATTGATTATTAACATTGAAATATGTTTATCAGGGGATCAGGCTGGAGCAGTGTATGTTAAGTTGGCTGACTGTCACTTGAAGGTAATCCTTTGGTGTGGCCTGCTGTCTTGTGCTGAGCCGCTGGGCCTCACCTTTTTCTTTGTCATTTTTCTCTTTGATGCTTCTTGAGATTTGTCTGTTTTCCCAACATTATATTTGCAGTTGGACAGTAAGCACGAAGCTGCTAATGCATATGCTGATGCAGCTCATTGCTACAAAAAGACTAACACCAAAGGTGCTTTTCTTTCTGGTTGAAGTTCATAAAATTTATCTATTCGCAAGATTTCTTTCTGCTTCATAATTATGTTGAGGCTTATGAAACAAATTTGCTGTGAATGGTAATTGGCCAATTTTCCTAAAGATATCACAGTATCAGCTATCTTGCGTAGGTAAATTCTTTCTTGTTTTATTGTCCCCACTTTTTGTTTGCCATGGGGGTTCAGTATGAATAACATGGTGGAAACAACCACTTACGAGTATCAAACTGGTCGCATATATATGATTTGCTTCATCTCAGATCTGTCATTCACTTTTTGTTGTTTTTGCTTGCTTCATCAAATGAATCTTCATAGCTTATTCCCTTTCTCCCTCATTCTTGGAAGATGTCAATCGTTTTTTCATATTGGTTGTCTGCAGAGTCAATATCTTGCCTGGAGCAATCTGTAAATTTGTTTCTGGATATTGGAAGGCTCAATATGTCTGCCAGATATTACAAGGTATAAACTTTAGTAATATATTATGTTGTTTCATTGCTTAATCAAATGTCATATCTGTGATTGAAATAACTCATCTGTAATCAAGTTCTGCACCTAATTGTTGACGACGATGAATTACTAAGTGTATGTTTGGTAGCCATTTTATCCAAATTTTAATACAAAATATGACTGTTTGTGTTTGTCAGTGGGACTTTGCAAAAAGCATTGATTGCAGTGGGACCAAATTACCAAATTGCCATTATTTCCAATAGAATGAATTTATGTGTAGGGACAAATCGGTAATTTTACATCAGCCAAAAAGTTTTCGGCCTTGCCCTGACACATTCACTGTGTAACGTCTATAATTTTTCTAAAAATTGAATATAGAATGGGCATCAAACATAGGCTAAATTTTATTGACATGTTTAAACATATCATTGACCGTTAAATTAATCATCGTGCTGATGAAAACCTAATTTTAAAAAACTAAGATAATATGTTTTTCGTTGAATAAATTGGAAGATAATAATAATGGGTCTCACTTCTTTTTCAGGAAATTGCAGAGTTGTATGAGCAAGAACAGAACTTGGAAAAGGCTATTGTTTACTATGAGAAAGCATGTGATCTTTTCCAAAGTGAAGAATTAACAACTTCGGCAAATCAGTGCAAGCAGAAAATTGCTCAATTTGCTGCTCAACTTGAACAGTAAGTTTGCTCACTCTCTGTATCTGACTGTATGAATTTTAACCGGTTTATACAATACAAGAATGACATATCTCATATTTAGAGAGCAGCAGTTTCTTGGGAAAAAAATTCTATTACATATAGACTATACTTTCTGTAATAGTTATTTTCATGTCTGCTATATTGGCTTTTTAATTGAGCATCTGGGTGTTTAGGTGCTTAGGTGCGTGTGATTATCATCTGTTTAACATTATTCTATTGATGGGAATGGCCTTGTTGTTCTTTCCTTTTCTTGACTGTTTATTTTGATTGAATGGAAGTTGTAGTACCATTTGTGTCAACTCCTCTTTAGCTGTAAACTGTAATTCCCAAGAACCCCCATACACTTTGATATTACACCAAACACCTTAGCTTCAAATAAACTACTTAAAGCATCTACAAGAGACTCCCTAAATACAAAATGCTCTTTATTTTAAAGAGCTAATGCTTAATAATAAGTTCCAATAGACTTTCTATTTTAACTTTTTAAAATAGATTGTAGGTTTGACTTTCCAAATTCACTCTCTGTTCTCAATGAACGACGATTTCGTTTAATAAATTACATATTTCAATAGTTTACTTCTTAAACTCTTCAAACGATATTAAATTTATTGGCCATTGACGTATCAAAAATTATGTTAAATAAAGTGAGAGGAGAAAGTCAATAAATGTTTCTTGAGAAAAGCAAAATGAACATGCCAAAATAGAGAGCATCGTTGGAGTGCATGAAAATTTTGATTCTCTAAATTTAAAGACGCTCTTTGGAAATGCTCTTATAATCATTAGTACATCCACTCAATTTCACATTGTCCCTATAACCTCTATTATCATTTTTTCCCCTCCCCCAAATAACATTCCAATTATTTCCAACATTTTATGTAATCTTACAACTTAGACTGCTTCAGATTGTTAATAGTTTATTTCTATCCTGCATTATGATTTTATTTAGTAAACTTATTGAAATTACTATTGCATGTGTCAATACGTGTAAAATCTTTCTTTGGTTAAACAAGCAGATGAAAAGAATCCCAAATTTTTATTAGAAAAATGCTCGTCTAATCTGAAACTCTGATGAATTTGATATTACATCAGTGAATGATGTATGATGTTGGAAGAAATTTGGAAGTCCACTAAAATAAATAATTTGTCAACATTTTTTCAGATATCAGAAAGCGATTGAGATATATGAAGAGATAGCACGACAGTCACTCAATAATAACTTGTTGAAGTATGGAGTTAGAGGTCATCTTCTTAACGCGGGCATTTGCCAACTCTGTAAGAGTGATGTTGTTGCAATCAATAATGCGCTAGAGCGATACGAGGTATTACTATTGTTTTTGTTCAGATGCGGAATTCTACACCATTTTTGATGTAAGTGCTGAGGATATGTGTGTACATTCCATTTTGTAGGAATTGGATCCAACATTTTCCGGAACACGCGAGTACAAATTGCTTGCGGTATGTTGTAGTTCACAAATATGTCTTTTACTTGAGCTTTTTTTCCCCCCCTGTGTACCTTCCACCTCGAGGAGAATGTGTATCAAGCATGGTTGTTGAACTCCGGATATGATCCTATGATTTTATGATCCCAAAATTACAATATGAACTGATCCTGTTATAGGATCTTAAATTTGTAGAATCTTATTATCCCGCTGGTGGATTCTAATGATCCTAATGATCATCATGGACTTTTCAATTTCATTTTTAATAAATTAAGTGATTTTTTTGGCTAAAAAAATAAAAATAAAAAATACTAAATTTATCAACTTTTGAACTAGTCAAATTTCAATTTTAACCGCACATTTCATGGGACACGATTTTTACAGATTTTTCAATGACATACTACAATCAACTAAGTAGGTTTTGTTGTTTGACACTTGAGGTGAGTTTCATTTTGAAGTAAAATCCAGATTAAAATTAAATAAAATGGCAAAAAATTAGAATTCTGAATCTGAAAAATGTTCTCATTTGTTCTCTATCATTTCTTGTGGAAATCAACAGTAATATTCCTTCATTTATTGATTTGTTGAAAACCAGTTGTAGATTTAGACTTGGTTTTTGGGCTCATAATGTTGTGATTGTTCATATGATTTATGATTGTCTATAGTTTTTGCAGATATCCATGGCGATCGGTGTTCATAAGTTTGTTACATAAATAATAACTGCAGTTAAAATTTGATCTTAAAAATAAACTTAAATTGAAGTATACGTTTATTTTGGGTTTTGGTTCAACGTTAAATGAGTTTTTCATTGGATTCTGATTTTATTTCGCTTTCTTTGTATTTCTAAAATCAATTATGAACCTTTATAAAGTAGTTGCAACCTTGATTTTATAGTTTGATTTTAGTTAGTTATAGTTGCTAAATTTTTTATTAAAAATATTTGGCATTTATCTATATTTCAATTAATATTATTAAAATCTGAAGATCCCTGATACTATCCAACGATCCGATCGGTAAACCTCTTTACTGATCCGATCCAATCCAATCCAATCTGATCCAAATTTATGACCCTGAGAACCTTGGTGTCAAGATATAACAGATAAACTTTTCCTATTTGTTTGTATTTCTGATGTCATTTTATTCTTGCTTTCTTTTTTTACTGCCATTGATCAAGTTGCAATATATTATCTTTTAAGCTTTTATATGGTTTTTTATAATCTTTCTCGTATATCCTCACTTTCTGGTACCTGAAAAATAACTGCTGAAGATTATAAATTGTATCTTTTACCTTTATATGCGTGCTAATCACAGCATCTAGCTGCTGCAATTGATGAGGAAGATGTTTCCAAGTTCACTAATGCTGTGAAGGAATTTGATAGCATGACCCAACTGGTAATTAAGCTATGCCATTCGTTTATATATTTATTTTTGAAGTTGAGTTCATAATACTATTTTGTGAATTTGAAAGCATCGAGTGCATATTTTCATAGATATCTAATTCAATTAACTTCAATGTGAAGCATTGTGTGAATGTTTAGTATATCTAGGCTTATAATAAAAGTAAAACAACCATTTCTCAAAACTCTTAGTAGTTACAAACATCAAAATGAGTTTTTTTCTTTTTTCTCCCATCAATTGCATTAGAAGATCTCACAACGTTCCAAGATCTTCATGGGCTATAAATAACAGTCAGTGTGAAGAATAAACTTGTCTCTTGAACTGGGAATGGTACTCTGTTTCTTTAAATTACAGCCATAGACTTCTTGTTAGGTTTTTATAATCTTCTGGAGGAAGGGTGGACGGAACTGATGAAAATAGAAGGAAGATAAAAAGAAAATGATGACTTTGATGACCATTCTCAAATATGACTTTTATTGGTCTATGCATAGCTTTCAAAGTACAGTTTTCGATTTTTATAGGCTTATAGCTTCCTCTAATTTTACCTTTTTATCTCGTTATGTTATTTCAACGTTCTCTACTGAAATTATTAATACTGTATTTAAAGTGATTGATCTTCTTTAAAATTTTATTAGCAAATCATCTGCATGCAGTGATAAAATGGGTGAGAGCCGGGATAGACCACTCAAGCACCATTGACCTCTGTTTGCTTTTCTATTTTTCAGTTCTATTTATAGGGACTACATGTAAATAACAAACCAATCCTTATTTCCGATCAAATTGAGACATACATGCATTATCTCCATCGACACATATAGAGAACAATCCAATAAAATCAAATCCTTTGCCACCATGTTAGACCATGTATATATTTCATTATGGTTTATCAATACTAATAACGGTTTTGCTAGTGGTTTATCTGGTGTACCCAATGGTGTACACCCCACTCACATGGGCGAGGGATCCACTCGAATAAAATATCATTTCTTTCATATAGGTCTCACACCCATATGAGTGGGGTATACACCATTCGATATACCCCATTATGTACAAGTAGACAAATTCAATTGATAAATACTCACTCTTGATATCTATTTTCTCTTATTCGCATTATTGTTTTGCTTGATGATTGAAGCTTAAGAAATATCTGCCTTCAAGTAAGTTGGTAGTCTTGAAATGCATGCCAACTAGAGGTTAGAAAAAGCACAACTGAGATCTATTGAAATTTTCAACAGTTTGGCTATCAAAATTAGTCTCGTGGATAGTTAGGGACGAGTGGTTAAAATTGGCAGATAATGAGAGAACTCTGTATGGAAGAACATAATAATTGACCTCACTTAAAAGTATCAGTTCAAATTCGAATGTCTTAATACTATTATACTGTTTAAGTTAGTCAACTCGTAAATTTTTCTTTTCTGTGTAATGTTATTACATTACTTACCTTTTTCCTTCCCGTGTACCTTGCTCTTAGGATGCTTGGAAGACGACTCTATTGCTGAGAGTTAAGGAAGCATTGAAGGCTAAAGAGCTAGAGGAGGATGATCTTACCTAAATCTAATTTTCTTCTACCATGGCGACCTATATTTTGTTCTAATGGTGACTTTGTAATCGTTCATTTGTGTCATTATGCATTATTACTCGTGTGCTTTTTTTTTTTTTTAATGGGATTCCTTATTGGAGTGAATATGAGTGCATCTGTAAATAGAGTGTAATTCAGCTGCTGTAAATTTTCATTTATTCCTCTACTAGTTGGCAGCATCTTTTCAATTTGAAACTCGCAATCAATATGTATCCATGCGGCTGTGGTGGTTCACCACCAACGTCACCCCCACTGATGGAGACTCTTTTTGAGTTGGCTATTTAAGAATCTCAAAACTCACAACAGGAATTATGATATTAATTGAGTAAATTGTATTTTATCAGTATATAATAATTATTTTTGTTGTAACTATAGTTGTATTTATGAATGATTTTTATATCCTTACCAATGTTATCAAAATTGACCCGGCACGGATGGTTCAACCGGTAAAATTGGGAATCGGGCCAAAATCGGGTTAATCTTGCCCGGTTAACCATTTATGACTAAATCACTTAAAAACTTATCGAACTAGTTGGTTTAACCGTAAACTGATGAACCGGTTGTGGTTTTCCCAATTTTCTTTTTATTTTATAATTTCAACTTCATGAATGGGCTTCATAAACAATGATTCAAAGGCCCATAGAGAAATATTGGATGACATGTTCCTTTTGTAGTTGTACTACTCTCAAACGGTTTTATAAACTTCCAACGTGGGATAATGCATTTTATAGATGCACTTCTTTTCAATGATTTCATAAATTTTCAATGTAGAATTGTGGCGTAACAAAAATATTAACAAATTATAGAATAATGAATCTAATCAACAAATTATTAATATGAAATTTTTAAAAAATATATATTGTTTTCATAGTATTTTATTATTTTTTTATATATTTATCGTATCCGGTTCGATCTTGATTTCACTCGGTTGAACCTGTTGACCCTTGATCCTTCACCTTTTCCGGGTCGACGATGGGGTCGGTTTTCAGAACATTGGTTATTTCTAATGATTTTCGTCTTTGGACTACATATTTCTATTTATGAAAAAGGAAAAGTACAATAGAGAGCAATCCAGCTTCTGCATCTTCTTGTTCCTTAAAATAGTAACTATAAGTTTGGTTCATGGATGAAAATCAGGTGATGGACTTCAAGTGACAAATATTTGCTCTAAATTCTACAAACTCAGTTGATTTTTCTCATTCCTTACTAATTGGTGAGTTTCTATTTACTACTTGTCAATCTTCTTGTTTTTCTTGCTTGATGTAAGGTGGATCACACCCTCTACTTGGTGCAAATTGATTGATTTTGAAAATGTGAAGTGGATTGTGCTAGTTATGGAGTAATATGAACCATAAATTAAATTCAATGGTTAGGATTTAATCTTGTGGTCAATTATCCTATACTAGTGTTCTCACTTTCTTGTTGACCTATGTACTATATTTAAATTTTGAATTCAAATGAATTAGCTCTATAATTACAAGACTTCTTCATTTCTCTCATTTTTGGACTTGCATAACATTGTAGAGAAAGAATAGAGAGATAGCCAAGTGGGAGCATTCTACATGTCTGGCGAAATTCTTGGTAGCTTCCAGTAGATTTTTTCTCGGTATATCCATTGTCATTCCCGTGGACGACGGTGTATGATTCAGTATGACACAAATCTAAGTTCAACATCATAGAAGACTCCATTGATGGGATTGAAGAAGCTTTGGTCGTTTGGTTCAGTTTTACACTTATAGAGTTTATATTTTTCGCATTGTAATTGTAATAATCTTTTGTGTACTACACTTTAAACTCTACACTTAGATCTTTATATTGTCTGTTTATTTCCTAAATTCTTTCAAAATATCTGGAATTAATATGACTTTCCTTTATTGGGTATTCTGCATACATCCTTTATTGGGTATTCTGCATACATGGAGTCGTCAAATTTCATTACTTACACCAATTTTTGGCACCGATTTTGTTTGGTAATCCTTACTATTAGTTAAAATATATTCTAAGATTTCATGATCCTTGACTTATTATGTATATTCTTGATTTAATTTGATTGACTATAATTAGGTATTCATTGATTCTTTATTTAGTGAACCTCTCTCTACTATATAAATGCTGTTCTATACTTTGTAGAACACAGACAGAAATACAGTTTCTCTTCATAAAATTTCTTTCTTTTCTCTTGTCTTCTTTATTTGATCATCATGTCAGAGCAATGTTTACTTGTCTCGTCACTTTCAAAAGATTGGAGTTCTCTTTCTTCAGTAGGCTTTCTTTAGCTCGTTTGTTTTTCGGCCTTTTCTCACATTTTATGTCTCAAATTTCTCAAATCTGACATTAGCATCCTGATCTATGTTGTTCAATGGATCATCTCCAAAAATTTGAATATATTCCAACGTTGGAATATATTCTAAAATTTGGTATTTTTTGGGCTTCTTTTGATGTTTCTGGTGTCCTTTCACTTATTTAAACATTTCTGGAGATTAAAAAAATAATAATAATAAAAAGAATCATGCTTCAAAGTTTGTCTAACATTAAAGATGTCTTGATGGCTAAAACTACAACGCCTGGTCTAATACTATGCGTACGTGGCTTCGCGGACATCGTCTGTAGGATTTGTTACCGGTTCTGAGCACAAACTTGAAAAATGAGAAAATGAGGATCAACAAGATTCAACAATTGTCTTGCCCTTTGGGAAAAAGTGTGCATTACAGAATCATTCAGTAGTTCTCCAATATATTTGTGGTCTCTATTGGCAATACTTTTGAAAGGTTTGATAATGCCAAAGATATGTGGGATCTACGAGCACAAAAGTACAACGCTGCTAATCTCCCTCAGTAGTACCAATTCACTATACAGCTTCATCACATGCGACAGGAAATATACCAGTCTGTTACGGAATTCTTCTCTTAGACGAATTACCTTTGGCATCAACTTTTTTTATGTGAGCCAGAACTGACTAACCTGACAATGTGAAGAAGTTTATAGCCTATCGTGATGATATGCGTTTAATTCTATTTCTGCTTTCTATTAATAATGATTTTGATGGAACTCGAGCTTCTTTGCTACACCGTTTTCCTCTACCTACTTTATAGATTGCATCGAGCGAGCTAATCTCTGAGGAGACTCAATTATCTACAAGGAAGTTGCCGCCCATTTTGGTTACTCATCCTTTTCCTAATCTAAGACCTACTGGTCATACTGTCCAGTGTTATTCTGTAAGAAGTAGGGTCATAAAGCCAATGAGTGCTGAAAATGCCTCCAAAAGACTGTTGCTGCTGCTTACACAAAATATTCAGAGAGTTCATATTTTGTTCCTGTCCGCTCCATCGTCATCTCTCTCTCTCTCTCGAACCGTGGTTGAAGCCTTTATCCATCAGGTTCTATCCAAGGCTAACCTCTCTCCTGCCTTATCCACCACCTTCTCAGCTAACCACTCTTGGTATCTTGACTCTGCATGTTGTAACCATACGACTTCAGATTAATCTCTTCTTACTTCTACAACTGAATTACCCTATCCATCCACTATTTACATTGCCAGTGGTCCTCATATGCATGTCAGTCATTGTAGTTCTATCTGTGCTCCTCAGATATCTGTCACTAATACCTTTCTTGTTCCAAAATTGTCTTTAAACTTGTTATCTGTTGGATAACTTTTTGACCTAGGTCTGGAGTTACTTTTTACTCATTGTGGTGTCGTGTTATAGGATCTGAAGAATAGCAGGTCGTTGGGACTGACCGTAAGGTGGTTGCCTATTTGAGCTTGCTTCCTTCATCTCTCAGTCAACATATTTGCTGCAACTTCCTCTTATACTCCATCCTCTACTATCAGTTTTTGGCACTCTCGATCTGTTCATGTCTCTGTATCTCATCTTCGCTCTTTATTTTATTTTTATGTTTATTTTTTATTTTTTATGACCGTGAGTGTCCGGACTAACTTATACGCATCTCGACTAATCTCACGAGGTCTTGAAGTTTATAGTCGGGTACTCACCTTAATAGTCCGGATTCAAATTGGTGACCTTCGAAGAGCAAACTCAAGGCCTAACCATTATACTACCCCCAGGATTCTTCGCTCTTTAATTTCTAGTGGTCATTTGGGTTTTGTACAATAAAAATCTTTTGATCGTGTAGTCAACTTGGAAAATAGTCTCGTATTCCTTTTAACAATAGTTATTCCATTTCATCAGCACCTTTTGAATGGATTCACTTGGATGTTTGGGGCCTGTTCCTACTCATATTATGGGGGATCACGTTATTTTATTGATGACTACTCTAGCTACGCATGATTTATCTTTTGCAAATCAGTTAGAACTTCAGCAAATTTATATTGAATTTCGAAAAATGATTCAAACTCAATTTTCTTGTTCAATTATTTTTTTTTTTTCGATCTGATAGTGCCATGGAGTATAAAAAATCCTCTTTTCTTATCACTTCAAAACAAAATGGCAAGATTCTCAATCGCTCGTCCTGGCACCCCTCAATATAGCATGCGTGCTGAGCACAAACATCCCCATTTCTTAGATACTATCTAGGCCCTTCTTCTTTCTACTTCTGTTCTCGAATCCGTTTGGGGTGAAGCTGCACTGACAGTGGTTTATACTATTAACCATAGTCCTTCGCCTATCTCACCCCATAAGTCATCCTATGAGTTGCTCTATAGAAAAGTTCCTGTTATTACTCGTTTAGGTGTTTGGAAGTGTATGTTTTGTTCTTCTTCGACCTTGTGAACATACAAAGTTACAACCTCGTTCTCATTTGTGCTATTTTTTGGGATATGGTATAGAACGTAAAGTATATCATTGTTATGATCCTATTAACTGGCCACTTCAAGTCTCGTATCTCATTACCTTTATGGAGCATATGTTGTTCAGTAACTGGGGCTCGTTTCGTCCTTGGGTCCAAAAGTAACTTTTGGATCTCAAAAGCTCCTTTTGAATTTTTAAAAGCCATGCTAAATGGGCTATTAGTAGTCTTCATATTTATGTGTTTCGCGCGGGTTAGTCGCTAACAATTAAAAATGGATCAGACGATTGTGTAAGGGACAAACCTCTTGAAACAAAGTCCCAAAAAGGGGTGTTCTTTTATTGGCGATGACTTTACAATTTGGAAATTATAAACAAAATGCTTCCAAGGGGCGCAAGCACACGAGTTACTGAAAAAAGTGTTTAAGTCTAAGTTAAGGAAATTAAAATTACATGTTCTCTGTTCGAGAGTTTTTGATTCGGTCTCTTGCTCTATGTCTTTTCTCCCTTTTATACTTCATGGACGATCTCTTCGCGATCAACCGCTTAAAAACTGCTTGATCGTTCTGCAACTG